AGGTGGGCATAGTGCAAGTTGGTGTGGAGACCTATGGAGGGGGCATCTGGAACACCTGGTTTGACCGTGACCTCACCGTGGCCGGGAGGGTGATCATAAAGGTGAGTCTGAATTTTGGCACACACGGTCGCATAGCTGTGTGTCTCTGGTACCGGATCCCTGACCCCCACACGCAGTGGGACCTGCTGCAACCTCTCAGCTCTGCAGGCCTGGCCGCAGAAGTCCTCCTTGTGTTTCAGGACCAAGCCACGGGGCGCCTGGAGCAGCGTTTGGTACGTGTGGAGCGGCCCATCCTCCGCATTCCTCACCTGGCCATCCATCTGCAGCGCAGCATCAATGAGGGCTTCGGGCCCAACACTGAGCACCACCTGTAAGGCCGGGCTCAGCCCCAACCCCTGGCCACCCCTCGGGAGGGCTGGGACCCAGCTAGAGCAAAGCCCCACCTTAGCTCTCCCTTTGGCAGCCGCTCCTTGCAGTGGGGAGATCTGCAGTGGCTCTTAGCCCCATGGAGTCCTTCCAGGAGATGCTTCCAAGCATAGGATTTGGGAAAGGATACTGGGGTGTCCTGAGGTGGCACAATAGATTTGTACTTAAAATATGCATTCTTGCTCCATTTGGCATAGCAATCACTCCCTGGAGGAGCAAGGCAAACACCCCAGGAAGGGTTGGTGGTGTGTGACCCAAGCAGGTGAGGTGCGCAAAGCTCTGGGAGCTAATGTTGCTGACCCCCACAGGGTTCCCATTCTGGCCACTGCAGTACAGGAGGAGCTGGAAAAGGAGGTGCTTATGGAGTCTACACCTTGCAGTGCTGCAGCCCAGGTGAGCTGTATGCCAAGGATCAGCAGGGATGCTTGCAAGTACCTCATACTTGTCACCTTTGAGTCCTGAGGGACCTGCTACCAGGTTCCCCTTCTCCCTGTGTACTGCTGGTAGCCTTCCACTCTGCCTCACAGTTGTGTACACAGCACATCTGCTCATCCATCTCTCTCTTCTCACCCTTGCCTGCAGCCAGTGTGGAAGGGGTGCATCTCCTTGAGGAGGCAGGGCAGGGAGGGGGCTAGCACAAGGGCATAGGGCTGTCCTGGGTGAGGTGGGGACTTGAACATAGGACATGTTAGTAGGAGAGAGCACTGTGCCAACATAAGCAGGGTCAGGGACAGCTTTGTAAAGGGAAACTGGGAGTTTCTCCTGTCATCTACTGCCTGTCCTGCCCACAGCTCTGCTTTCTTCCCAGGCAGAGCGGCATAGCCCTGTTCTTCTTTCCCTGATCTGCCCCCAGCTGGGAGTGAAACCAGAGCAGATTGTGGAGCTGGAACTATGCCTGGCAGATACGCAGCCAGCGGTGAGTAAGGGCAGGAGCATCCCTCTGTCTGCATGCAGTCTATGGGCTGGCACTACACAGGTGCTACCTGGCACACATCCTCTGCCTGGCATGTGCCAGGGCTGGGAGCTGAATGGAATGAGAGGGAGCTGCACTTGAGGGGCAGAGATAAGGCTACTGGAATGGAGATCCAGTGGCAGGTACTTTTTGGTGACCCAAAGCCTGTGCCCTACTCCTCTTGGCTCTCTGCAGACAGTGGGTGGTGCTTTCGATGAGTTCATCTTCTCCCCCCGTCTGGACAACCTGCACAGCTGCTACTGCGCCTTGCAGGTGAGAGGGGAAACAACCTGGAGGCTGTAGCATGACCCCCACCCAGCCCAGCTCAGCTTTGGGCTGGCCAAAGGCTCTGCAGGGAGTTGTGTTCTTGTGGAATGGGTCTAGATTGTTGGAGGACCTGGGGTTGGATGCCCCCTTTGCTGGGCATGTGGGGTTCCCAGCAGCTTCCAGGGGTGACTCCTGCTGTTGCTGGGCAATGTGTGTGGCCACAGCTCCCTTCCTCCGTGCTTTGGTCTCTCCTGGGGGATTTCCCGATGGCTCAGTCCTGAGATTCCCAGGATGGAGTGGCACTCAGGCTGGTGTCTATTCCCCCCTAACCCTGCAGGCTTTGATTGACTCATGTGCAGCACCCTCGTCTCTCTCCCAGGAGCCCAATGTGCGTCTCATCGCGCTCTATGACAATGAGGAGGTGAGCAAGGGGCACAGCTGTGGGGTGGCTGGCATCAGAAGGGACTCCTTGTTCTCTGCTCTTCCCAGCCATGCCTAGCAGGAGAGAGATCTCACACCCCAGTGGAGGAGGCAGGCATTTGCTTACACCCACATGGAGCATGGCCCAGGCAGGGGTGGGAAATACTGGTGTGGTAGGAAGCTGCTTTGCTGGCTTTAGGGGGCACCCTGTCACCCATCTGGCCCATGGTGCTGCAGGATTGTGCTGATGGTGATCCTTGGCAGGTAGGGTCAGAGAGTGCACAGGGCGCAGAGTCCTTGCTCACAGAGCTGGTGCTGCGCCGGATCTCGGCATCGCCACACAACCTGACAGCCTTCGAGGAGGCAGTGGCCAAGTCCTATATGATCAGTGCTGATATGGCCCACGCTGTGCACCCCAATTACGTGTGAGTAGTCTGAGCCATGGCACAGGTGAGAGCAGCCTGCCCTGCCACCTGTGGGACGTATCCCCATCACTCCCCAGGTAGTAGACACAGGACAGTCCTTGTTGCTGCAGGGAGGGAAGGCTATAGTGGGAAACTCTTGCTTCTCTTTTGCAGCGACAAGCATGAGGAGAATCATCGTCCAGCCTTCCACAAGGTGAGGGCAGCCCTCTGCTTTGGTCTAGGATGGTTGCTGTCTGTCTGTCCTGCAGCACTGTGGATTGCCCAGCTGCCCTCAGGGTACAACTCGGGTATTCAAATGGGAAACCTTTATCCTGCAATGGGATTTGACCATGCCACACGTCTGATGTTAATCACTTGGGATCCCAGTCTTGTCTGTGGAGCTTCTCCCTGCTCTGAGCTGGGGCTGTCCCCATGGAAACAGTGTCCCCATCCCACTGGGCACATCCAGGAAAGGGAGAATGGACTGATATGTTGGGGTGGAATGGCATTGCCTGGGCATGGGTGTTTCCTATTCCTGGGTCCCATCATGGGCCCGCGGTGCCTTCTTTTGTGCAGGGCCCTGTCATCAAAGTGAACAGCAACCAGCGCTACGCCTCTACAGCTGTCACCGAAGCTGTAATCCGGGACATTGCCGCCCGCGTGGGTGTCCCCCTGCAGGTGAGCAGGGCTGGGTGAGCTCTCCTTGAACATCAGGAATTTGGGCTGCAGCCCTGCCCCTGGGTTCATCAGAGGGGCCCTGTGCCAAAGCTCCACCCCTGTTACTATGTCTGACCCCACTGGGGTCTTGGTGCTGCGTGTTGCTCTGGGGCTCCAGCTCCAGGACTGCCTCAGGGAGCAGGCTGGTGAACAGGATGGGAGCCTGGCCTGAGCATGTCCTATCTCTAGAGCATTTTTTGAACCCTGGCATGGGTTGGTGCTGCTTCCCTGTCCCATGTCACTTCCCTTAAGGGCTGAGGGCCCTTGTGGGAGGCCATGGGGCAGCACGTAGAGCTGCTGAGGTCTTGCCCCCATGCAGGAGTTCATGGTGCGCAACGACACACCCTGTGGCACCACCATCGGCCCCATTCTGGCCTCCCGCTTGGGGCTGCGTGTGCTGGACATTGGCTGCCCGCAGCTGGCCATGCATTCCATCCGGGAGATGTGCTGCACCTCGGGAGTGCTTCAGAGTATCACCCTCTTCAAGGTGAGCCCTGTGTCCCCCAGCCTGTGCTAAAGCCTGCTCCCTGCTGCTCTACATCTCCCACATCCCCGTGTCCCCATCCGATCCCTGCTTTGGGGCTGAGCCCAGCCATCCCACAGAACTCCCCAACTCTCTAGAGCAGCTCAGGTACTGGCTGCTTCCGGAGGTGCCCCCTCTCATCCCAGCCTTCCCCAGTGACTGCCATCCCTAAGTAGTTCCTATGGCAACCGGTGCTAGCCTTGAGTCAGCGATGGGTTACTATGGTGACATGGTTCTGCTTTCTGCTAGTAGCTGCCTACTATGACGCTGTGACAGGGAGCTGCTGCCTGCCCCCACTGCCTGTCACCCCACCCCACCCCACACCGCCTTGCTCAGTCCACCCCGACAGCCTCTCTTCTTCCAGGGCTTCTTCGAGCTCCTACCGACGGTCAGCAGCAGCCTGGTGGTCGACTGAACATGGCAGAGAGGGAATAGCAGTGGGTTTAGTCCTGAGGCCATTAAAGCATTTCTGTCTCTCCAGCAAGTGGTCCATGACTGTGGCTGGGGCTGACGTTCGTGGCTCCCCCTGGGGACTCCCATGGCTCCCACCTGTGCTCTCCCCTGGAACTGTGAGCAAGACCTGTTCACTCATCTACAGTGCCTTGTTGAGAGGTGCTGGGGGTCCCAGCTAAGGGGCAGAACAGGGCTCGGCTCCTGCCTGGGGAGAGCTGGCAGGAGGCTGCCGGCTGTGGCAGCGCTGGGGCCGTCCCTTTCATTAGGGATGAGCCTGCCGTGTGCGCTGGGATCTGCCGGCACCACACCTGGAGCTGCTCGCCGGGGCCGGGGGCTGCCCTCTCCCCGCGGCCGGTCCCCGGGCGGTGCCGCCGGGCGGGGCACGAGGGTGCGGCTCGACTTTCGCCGCTCATTGGGCGGCTCTCAGGGGCGTGTCCCACGCGGGACCCAATGCGGCCGCAGGGCTGGGAAGGGGCGGGCGCTGATTGGCGGGGGCGCTGCTGGTGCTCTGGCACACCCCCGGGGGGCGCGGCTCGCCCCCGGAGACGCTGCGATTGGCTGGGCGCTCCACCGCCTCCCCCCGGAGCGAGGTGTGATTGGCTCCGCTGGACAGCGGGGGGCGCGGCCGCGGCCTTGAGGGCAGCCGCGCGGGTCTGTGATTGGCTGAGGCGCGGAGGGGCGCGGCTCCGGCGGCAGCGCGCGGTGCGCCATTGGCGGGGCGGCGGCGGCGGGCGGGGCGCGCGGCGCGGCGGGGCGCGGGTTGGCGGCGGCGGCGGGGGCGCGGCCGGCGGGTGCGCCATGGTGCGGCCGTGAGCGGAGCATGGGGCGGCGGCTCCTCCGGGCGCTCCTCTGCCTCCTCCTCCTGGCCGGCCGCGGGCAGCTGCGTGACGGCGCCGCCGCCGCCACCGCCGCACACGGTGAGACCGCGACCCCGGGCAGGGCGGCTTTGCCCCGGGCTGCGCGAGGGCCGGAAGGAGATTCCCGGGGAGTGGCGGGGCACGGGACTCCGAGGCCGGTGCGGTCCCCGCCGCCGTAGGGTGTTGTCACGGCGTGCAGCGGCGAGTCCGGTCCCTGGCGGATAGCGGGACAGGGCGGCCCGCGACCGGCACCGCGGGTGCGCCATTGGCACCGGGGGCGCCCCTCTCCCGGGGCCGGCGGGTGTGCTAATCCCGGGGTACCCCGCCGGCTGTAGAGTTGCCACCCTGCTGGGCCCGAGAGACAGCAGCTACGGGACGGGAGCAGAACGGTGCTTGCTCATGCCCGGGGCAAAGCCGGTGCCTGGGGCTGCCGCAGGGTGGGAAGCCCCGGCCAGCGGCCCTAAGCGTGGCTTCCTCCGAGACCATGCCGCCCTTTAGGTGCCCTCCGCCTGTAAGTGCGGCCCGCCCGGGCCGGTGCACCCGCTCTTCTCCTGGTCGGTCCTTGCGGTCCGTGCTTGGGGCTCTCGGGAACCCGAGCGTCGCTGTCGATAGCAGGGCTGCACAGCCCCACGGCACGGCACGGCCTCGGCTCCGCTGACTCACTCTCGGGCGCCCGAGGCTGCTGCGCCCCTCGTCCTGCAGCGGCCCGGGAGTGCCGGGATGGATCCGGCTGCACCGCGGGGACCCGCTGCCCCCGGGAGCGAGTGAGGAATGGTGCCGGGACGGCTGCGGCCGAGCACCGGCCCGGCCGGGGGAGCCTCCCCTGTGCTGGGGCCACCGCCCCTCCCGGCGGAGCGGGGCGTCTCGGCGGGAGAGCGCTGCGCCGTTTCAGCACCGCGGACAGCGCCGGCCCTGCCGCCCCGGCCCGGTCCCCCGCTGCCGCCGAACCTGGGTCTCCGGGTCTCTCTCCCCCGGCAGCGGGATCCTGTGCCCCGTACCTGCGTGGCCTCCGCCCCGGGGGACGCTGGCCCCTGGGTGTTGGGGTTTCGAGGACCCTCATCCCCACTAGCCCCCTTCCCCCGCGGCGGGCTTGACGGGCCCCTCCCTCCCCTCCCCCCGGTTGTTTTCTCGTTCCTTCCTTGCCATCCGGGGCTGAGTCATCGCCTGCTGCCGTCTCGCTGCTGACGGTCTTGGACCGAAACGGGGGGGGAGAGGAAAGGGGAAGCCACCCCCTGCCCAAGTGCTGCCCGCCGGAGGGGTTGGAGAGGTACACGCCCCACAGCCCCAACACCGCTACATCCATGCTTTGGGGTCCGCCTCGCGGGGAGAGTGGATTCCGGTGTCACTGGGTTGCATCCCTTCCTCGTAGTACCACATGTAGGAGGGCAGCAGATGTGGTTTTGCGGGTCTCTGCTGCCTCAGTCTTACCTAACTGCCAGCACCCCAAAAAAACTCCAGGCCTTCCCCACGGTCCAGAGCCAAGGGTGTACTTTCTATCCAGCCCCCATCTTGTCTCTGAGGGGCAGAAAAGACTGGCACCGAGCCTCTGGGCTACAAAGCTGTGTCCCCTCCCACCATCACCACATTGCATCCCTGTGCTGCTTTTCCGGAGCGTAGGGATCCCCCAAGCAGCTGGTGTTGAGCAAATTCCATTGGAGTCTTCCTTGGATGCTGTGCTGACTGGCCTGTCTGTCTGTCTGTCCCAGGCTGCCTGTTTGACCGAAGGCTGTGCTCCCCGCAGGAGGTGTGTGTGCAGGGTAAGTGGCCAGCAGGAGTGCAGGGATCCCCTCTCCTTTGCCACGTGTGTGTGAAGGCTACAGGGGTGCCTTGCAGGGGAACCTAGGGTGCAGTGCAGGGGGGCAGGGCAGGAGAAAGGTGGGGCTGTGTCTGGAGATCCTCACATCGGGATGTTTGTTCATCCAGTCCCGCTGTCTCCCTTCTCTTGCAGATGGGCTGTTTGGGCAGTGCCAGGTGGGCTCCGTGCAGGACAGACCCTACTTCCAGGTCACATCTCCTGTGCTCCAGCGTCTGCAGGATGTCTTGCGGCATCTCATGGCACAAGGTGAACGGGGGAGCGTGGGGGAAGTGGCTGCAGCCCTGTAGGGAGGGGGGTCAGGTAGAATTGCCTAGTGGCTCTAGAGCTGTCTAAGGTCCTGATGAGCCAGGGGCCAGGGTGGGCTGAGGAGGAATGGGGTCAAACCCGGGCCATGGGACACAGGGTCAGAATATCAGGATGGCATCCCATGCCCTCACACCATGGTTCCCAGGCTGCCCCATGTCTCACAGTCTCCCCCCATGGCAGGGCTCTCGTGGCAGGATGGCATCACCCAGTATGTGATCTCTCAGGAGATGGAGCGCATCCCCCGCCTCCGCCTGCCACCCTCACTGGAGCCGGTCGCTAGGGACAGGTAGGACAGCGCCAGCAGAGCTCAGTGGAGCCAGCTAGGGCTTTGTCCACCAAATGGGGTTTAGGGGATGGACCTCCCCCTTTACCCAGGTGAGTTACCCCAGCACTGTTTGCCTCAAGGTTCCTGCCTCTCCGCAGCGAGCCCCGGCGAGCCCCACTAGCCCCAGACCCTGGCCTTCCAGCAGCTCCGCATTTGGAGCAGCCCACACCACTGCTGCTTTCCCCTCTGGTGCAGCGCTACCTGGAGCACGTCCTGCTGCCTTCCCCACCCCAGCTGGGCTATGAAGAGGCTCTTCTCAATCCCTACTCCTACCACAAGGTAAGCTGGGGGGTGAGAGCCTCCATCTGGGTAGAAAAGTAGAGATTGGCAGGGAGTTGCTGCACTCCCAGCACCTTTCTGCTGGTGCTCGGGTAACCCCTGCCTTCACCATGGGGTGACAGGGGACCTATGGGGTTTGACATGTGTTTTGGTTGCAGTTCGGCTATCAGGATGGTGCTCACCAGCATCCCGGCACCTCAGCCAGGCAGAGCTCTGAGACCTCCTCACTGCTGGGCCGGGTCCCTGCCCAGACCCTTTTTGGGGCTGGCCCTGTGCCCTCCTATGGTGGGCAGCCAGGAGTGGATGGGGGGCATCTTTTCCAGGACTTGGGCATGCTTTCCCTGCCCAGAGAGAAGGCTGGCCGCCCGGACCCTGCCAGCACCAGGCTTCAGCACAGCTTGCGGCTCCCCAGTGACTACAGAAACATGGAGGAGAGGGAGCAGCAAGCACCCCTGGCTGCCCAGCCACCCTCTGCACAGACGGGTACCTTGTTCTCCAGCCAGGCACCAACCCTTTTCCCTATCCTGTACCCACAGCCACGAGTTCCTCATGGCTCAGACTTTCCCTCCTCTTTGGGTTTATGCCCATGGGCAAAATATACCTGCAACCTCACCTGCTCCATCTGCTTCATTCCTGGCCCCTAGTCTCCATGCGGATGCAGAGCATCCAACCTGATGCTATGTCCCCTTGCAGATGCTGCCTTGAAGAGACTGGCTTCTCTCCTGGCCAGCTATGGCCTGGGGCTGCCAGAACTGAGTCCCCAGCAGATAAGCAGCCTATCCACCCTCCTCCAGCTGCTCCAGAGCTCTGGTGAGCTGTGTGCAGGGATGGGACAGGCAGGGACTGGCAGCAGCAGGTGCTAGCATGCCCTGTTTCAGGGTAGGGAGTGTTGCCTTTTGGGGTGGGTGCTGCAGGACCTCTGTCTCTCTCCTTTCCAGGTGTTACTGGCCCTGAAGTGCCCACAGCAAAACAGGTGGGTTTGCAGCAGGGTGATCCTGGAGGAGGTTCCATGCCACACGTGGGATGAGGGGGAGGAGACATTTCCCCAAGGCTCTCCTCAGAGATTCCAGCTTCTCCCTTTTCCTTCCTTCAGGTGATGGAGGGGAACATGCAGCATGGAGAGGAGCCAGTGCCCCCTTCCTCCACAGTGCCACCCCTCAAAATCCCAGCCAGCAGCTCTCCAGGGGATGGAACAAAGGGCAGGGCAGCATCTTCACCGGCTCCCTGGGCTGAGCCACAGCAGGGACACAGTGGGGATGCTCTCAGCCCTGGAAAGCACATTGTGGTGGAGAAGAAGAGCTACACAGAGATGAAGGACAGTGGGGCACAGCAGGGCATGCGGCCACTAGATGAATATGGCTACATCATCACAGACCAGAAGTGAGAGCTGGGGGTCAGACAAGGGGGTCTGCATGTGTGAAGGGTCTATATCTCCCCACCAACAGCTGTCACAGCTTCACATGCTTGACCAAACCTGTTGGGTCTGTGGTAGGGTCGGGTTTCTGTGGGGTCAACTCCCCTTGATCCATTTTCTACCCACAGCCTTGCTACACCCCAAAGCCTTCCTTTCCCAGCCCCCACCAAGGCCAGAGCTCAGTGTTGCAGGATGGCAGGCTGGAAGCGTGTGTGTGCACAAGTGTCTCTGTGCACATTTGTGTGCAAGGGAGGGTCAGCTCACCCTCAGCACCACACATTGCCACACTCTTACCTCCTGCCTTCCCTGAAACCTACTCTTGCTGTGTGCTTGGGACTCCCTGAGCTGCCTGTCCCTGTTCTCTGACTATGGGGTGCACGGGGCTGTCCCCTCACCCCTGCCACCCCCTCCTCACCCTGACACTGTCCCCACAGGCCCCTGGGGCTGGCTGCTGGTGTGCAGCTGCTGGAGCTCCTAGCCAAGCACCTCCACCTCTCCACCACCAGCTTCATCAACATCAGGTGAGGGGACTGGTACCATGGGGTGCTGCTGCCTCAGCCCTGACCATGCTCAGCACTCTCAGGCAGGGGGACAGGAGGGACTGGGATGTGGTGGGGGTGGGTAGGGGGTCTGCATTTCCAGGTCTCACACTGTGTCCCCCTCTCCCTGGCAGCGTTGTGGGTCCTGCGCTTACCTTCCGCATCCGACAGAACCCCCAGAACTTTTCACTGGCAGATGTGGCCAGACAGACTGGTGAGTTGGGCAGTGTCCCTCTGATCTTGTTCCTCTCTTCCCCTCCCAGTTGTGGGTGCCCCTTCCCAGGGACCAGGAAGAGAGGACTCCTACCATACATCCCTCCACCTTGGGCTGAACTGGGGAGTGAAGTGGGCAGCTGTCAAAGCTGTCCTTTGGCTCTGTTTCTGGAGGGTCTCTTGTGTGGAGGGGAAGCATGCCTCTGACCATTTCCTCCCACAGAGCAAGTGAAGGGAGAGCTGGAGCATGAGCTGGGCCTGAAGATTGTGCAAACCGGAGTGGGAGAGGTAGGAGTGAGCAAGAGTTCCGTCCCTTGGGGCTGGGGTGGGCAGGGACAGGGGAGTGGGGATGCTGCCACTGGGTACAAGCCAGGAGCCCCCAGCCCTGGGGTGCAAGGGCCTTTGTGAGTGAGCTGTCCCTGCAGGTCTGTGGGGCAGCTGAAGAGTAGAGGAGACTGGGCAGTGTTTGGGATGCTGTGTTTGAGATAGACTCCAGTCCTGTGTTGGAGGACTCCTGTTGGAGACTGTTCCAGTCCTGTCTGTCCATCATCCCCCTCCACTGCCTGGCAGCGCAATCCTGCCCAGGGCTCTCAGCTCTTTGGAAAACAAAAGCTCCACAGTGTTTGAAGGTGGCTTGAGAGGGACTCCCAGAGGCTTTTCTTCCCCCCAAGACTGGGGGGCTGCAGGCTGTATCCCTCAAGGCTTATCCTCACCCTTGCTTCCCTCCAGCCTGCACACCCATCTCAGCTGTGGCCTGGGCACTCAATCAGTGGGATGTTCCCAGAGCACCCCACAAACTATAGCTAGGCAGGCAAAATGCCATCGTGTCCCCAGAGAATGGCAAAGCAGCTGGAGGCAGGCATGGAACAGGAACCATCTGTTCAGAGAGTGGTTACCCCTCCCTGTGCTCCTCTGGGGAGCCACAGGAAAAGTCTCCTGGGGCAGGGAGCAGGGGTTGGAGACAGGGACTAAGCCTGGCTCTCATATTTGCAGCCTGAGGAGGAAAAATGGTGTAGCACATCCCCAGCCCAGTGTCCCCATTTCTCACTTCTTGTGATATGGCTGTAGTTGTGAGCAGGGAAGGAAGAAGGAAGGAAGGGGGAGCTTTGGAGGAGGCCATGAAGAAGGGGTGGCCTGGCCACTGAGGCATCCTGTCTCTATCAGCAATATGCAGAATGTGTCTATGGCAATGCCTTTTGATAAGGCAGGTGGCCAGAATTGGGAGAGATGTCAGAGATGACAGAAATGGAGCTCAGAGGAAGCTGAAGCAGCTTTGCAAGCCCCCTGACCTTCCCAGTTCTAACCAACTTGTGCTTTTCCTTCATTCCCTCCTGGCTCTGGGACTGGTGCAAGATTTGAGGAAGAGGATGAAGGGAGGCAGGCCTTGAGGGAGAGATCCCTTCTGTGCCCCCTGGCTCTGCTGACACCTCCAGGAGCTGCAGGGCTGCTCCTGCTTGGGTGCCCTGGGGAGCTGGGAGGTGCAGGACTTGGTGGGTGCCCTGGCTGCAGGACTGGCCGGACCTTGATGGCAGTCAGGTGCTGGGGGGCAGGTGGCAGCAGGGACACCTAGGCTGGGGACATCCCCAGGCAATGATGATGATGATGTAGTTGATGATGGTGCAGTGTTCCCTCGGTAACCTCATCAGGCTGATAGCCAATGGGAGGCTGTGGCAATGAGGTAATGCAGGGCTCTGGCAGCTCATTGGGCACAGGATGTTTGAATTGGTGATGCCTCAGCATCCCTGTGCTGCCCTAGCTGGACCTAAGCAGTCATGGCATTAACAGGAAGGTCTTGTCCAGCAAGGCCTGAGCAACATCCTGTTCCAGCATGGGACTGGCATAGATTGGGGTGTCTCCCACAATCACAGGGAAGGAGCCCTAGAGACACTACCTGCAAGGTGGCAGGGGCTGCTCTGTGACCTAACTGAGGAGGCCAACAGGGAGGACTTGTCCCCTGACTGCTACAGCTGGGATGGTACCAGCAGTGCTGGCATATTCCCCACCCTGCCTCCCTCACTGTTCTGCTGTGGAGCAGTGGCTGCAGGGGAGAGCCAACCTCAGTTGGGAAACTCTTCTGGAGGTAGTGCACCCAGTGCTGCAGTTGCTTATCCTACACCATTAACTCCTTGGGTTCCTCAGAGCTGCCTTGTTGATCTCCAGCTGGGCAGAAGGAGGTCATGGAACCCAAGTTCTAAGGGGCTACTGCCTGCCTTGTAGAAGGGCAGTCCAGGCTGGGTCTGTCCTCAGGCAGCAGCCCTGAGTGCTGGAAGAGGGGAAATAGGAAGTTACTGCTACCTGGGCTTGGCCAAGCTATTCCAGCTCCAGGGACACCACTGTAGCAGTGCCCTATGTGACACGTAGGTGGGTGCACTCTGCCTCACCCCAGTGACACCAGCCCTGCCCCAGCTGACGGTGCTGGGAGAATCAGCACCCTCAGGAAAGGGAAGAAAGAGCCCTTGCTCTGTTTTGACCCCCCCAGCAACCCCAAATGTGCCGCAGAATAAGGTCTCTGCTCCCCTCGGCCCCATGCTAACTAACACTTACCTGGTTCGGTCCCCAGCGAAATGAAGCTGCTGCCTACTCACGCCCATCCCGCTTTGGGGATGGCTTCCACTCGGTGCTGCTGACCTTCATCGCGCTGGCCTGCCTGGCTGTGGTTGCCATCGCAGTGTCTGCGGCCTTCTGCCTCCGGCGCCATGCCAAGCAGCGGGAGAAGGAGCGCCTGGCTGCCCTGGGGCCGGAGGGTGCGGCCGACACCACCTTCGAGTACCAGGTAGGGCCCTGCGGGACGTGGGACCCCGCAGGATGCGTCGCTGCTGCGCGTCAGCGTGGCTCGGAGTGCGTGGAGCTGCCCTGTGGCAGCGTTGTGGCCAAGGGACAGGGCTCTTGCCGGGCTTCCCCAGGAGCTGTGCCGCCAGCACATGGCTGCCAAGTCTCTCTTTGGCCGCACTGAGGCACCGGCGGCACCGGCAGAGACTTCGAGGGTCAGCAGTGTCTCGTCCCAGTTCAGCGATGCTCCACAGCCCAGCCCCAGCTCCCACAGCAGCACACCCTCCTGGTGCGAGGAGCCTGTCCAGTCCAACATGGACATCTCCACCGGACACATGATCCTGGTGAGCCAGCCTGGAGGGGTGCCAGCCCCCTCCCCAGCCCTGCATCTGCCCCTCTGCTGCTGGGCTGATTCCCACCCCTCTGCCCCAGGCCTATATGGAGGACCACCTCCGTAACAGGGACCGGCTGGCCAAGGAGTGGCAGGCGCTCTGTGCCTACCAAGCTGAGCCCAGCATCTGCTCCATTGCCCAGAGTGAAGCCAACCTGAAGAAGAACCGCAACCCCGACTATGTGCCCTGTGAGCATCCCAGCCACCTGCCCCAAGGATCAGTCCCAGGGACCAGCTGTCCTGCTAGAGCAGGGTGTGGGGCATGGGAACACTCAGGGCTGTGTCTGGTTGCAGCATTAGTGTGCCTGCAGCTCCTCTAGCCACTCACCAAACCTGGCCTGTTCCCCCAGATGATCACGTACGAATCAAGCTGAAAGCCGAGAGCAACCCATCCCGCAGTGACTTCATCAATGCCAGTCCAATCGTGAGTGATCACTGGGGCCTGCTGCCCTGCCACCCTGCTCCTTGATGTGCCCAGCCCAGGTGAGGTTTTCACTCTGGGATAGAGCTGGACTGAAGTTACATCCCTGAGGTCTACAGATGTGAGCTTTGTGCCTGCCCCATTGCTCAAACAATTGTTAAATCTCATTTTCCTCCTGGCTGGGGCACCTGAATCTCCCTTCCCAACATTCCTATAACTCCTGGAGTATCTCCCTACTCTTTCAAATGTCACCAGCCCCTGGCTGAAGAGCATGAAATCTGATACCCCCTTTCCTGCTCCAGATTGAACATGACCCACGGATGCCAGCGTACATTGCCACACAGGGGCCGCTGTCCCACACCATTGCTGACTTCTGGCAGGTGAGTGTCACACAGCTGTGCCAGCCCATTGGGGTCCTTTTGTGTGCAGCCCCAAAATGGGTCACAGGGGCTTGACTGCTCTCCCACCTGGGCTGTCCCCCAGCAGTGAAACCCCCCTTGCCTTGCCCACAGATGGTGTGGGAACATGGCTGCACCGTCATTGTCATGCTGAGCCCCCTGGCCGAGGACAGTGTCAAGCAGTGTGACCGCTACTGGCCAGATGAAGGCTCCTCTCTTTACCACATTTATGAGGCAAGTGTGGCAGGTAGCCTGGGGCATGGAGCATCCTCCAGCCCCTGTTCCCCTGAGCACAGCTCCCTTGCTCGGCACTGATGCCCACTGTCTGCCTCACTTGAGCAGGTGAACCTGGTATCAGAGCACATCTGGTGCGAGGATTTCCTGGTGCGTAGCTTCTACCTGAAAAACGTGCAGTCGCAGGAGACCCGCACCCTGACGCAGTTCCACTTCCTCAGCTGGCCGGCCGAGGGCATCCCCACCACCACCCGGCCCCTCCTTGACTTCCGCAGGTGAGCGCCCACCTGGCACTGTGCCAGCCCTTGGGGAGCCAGCAGTGATCCCAAAGCAGGCCACTGATGGGCAAGGACATTGCTGTCACAATGATGAGGGTCAGAGCCGTGGCATGGACCAGGTGCAGGGACTAGGAGCTGCCATGGATGGGAAGGAGCAAAAAAGACAGGTTTTGCCAACTTGGGATGAGGCTCAATGGAGTTTGGTGGCCAAGAAACCTCTGGCTAAGATTGCCAGGGCTCTCCAGCCTTCACAGTGAGGGTGGGAAAGTGCTCTTCCCCAGAGCTGGCATGGAGGGCAGCATTGACTGGCACCTTCCTCAGCCATGGGTGCAAGAAAAAATCCCCAGAGCCAGCCTTAAACCAGCTGTAACCCATTGCTCCCAATGCCCTACAGCCAGTGGTGGATCCCCAGCTAGCCCAGGGCAAGAGCTGCAGGACTGGGACTGCTCCCAGGAGACTTGCCTGCCCAGGTCTTTAGGTCCCTGGGTGGTGGTGGGCTCTTGCCAGGCACAGGCTGCTCACTGTCCCTAGGTTGTGTGGGGCAAGGGACCCAGCCTAGGGCAGCAGGGGGTTTTCTGAGCATGTCGCCCTCCTCTCAGTCCCGCTCACGCTCTCTCTCTCTCTCTGTCTGTCTCTCTCTCGCAGCTGCCGGCGTCATTTTTGTGATTTGCAGCTAGTAATCTGGCTCCAGTTGCATAGTCACAAAAGTGATCGTTGGCAGCCGTGCCTGCTGCATGGAGCATGCCAGGAGCCCCACCGGCGCCTGGCCCCCAGCTTCACACCCCACCGGACCAGAGCCTCTCCCTGGGGGTCCTGCCACTGCTCCCCTCCCCAGGCTGGGCACCTGAGGAACTGAACTCCTCTCCCTGCCCCGGCCACTTTCCACTCGTGGTCCCCATCCCATGTCCAGCACCATTGTGGAGGCAGGAGGAGCCATGAGCGGGACCCCCAGGGCCACATCATGGTGTGCCGCTGCCCTGCCTCACTGAGCACAGCAAGGGACACCTAGCACAGCCTTGACCCTGGCACAGCAGGGCACTGATCTGTTCCCTCTTATCCTTGCAGGAAGGTGAACAAGTGCTACCGGGGTCGCTCCTGCCCCATTATCGTGCACTGCAGGTACTGCAGGGGATGGAGGGGCATTTGGGCTTCAGGGTGACTGAAGGCTGGGTACCTGCTGCCCAGGACCAATCCCAGTGGAACCAGCTCCCCTGGACCAAGCCTCTGTGTTTTGCAGTGACGGTGCAGGCAGGACTGGGACATACATCCTTGTCGACATGGTCCTGAACCGCATGGCCAAAGGTAGGTGCAGGGAAGCACCATTTCTGCCCTGTCCAAGAGCTTGGCTTGTAAACTCCTCTCCTAGCACCCCTCTCTCCCTCTGCCCCAGGGGTGAAGGAGATAGACATAGCTGCTACGCTGGAGCACATCCGAGATCAGCGGCCTGGTATGGTGCAGACCAAGGTACGCCCCAAACTGGGGATCCTCTCCCTCCCCATAAGCATGCATAGCCCCTGGGGCTGGGCTGGCAGGGACCCTCACTCTGCTCCTGCTGTGCTCCTGCAGGACCAGTTTGAGTTTGCACTGACGGCTGTGGCTGAGGAAGTGAATGCCATCCTGAAGGCACTGCCGCAGTGATGGTGAGGAGCCCTCTCTCCCCCCTCTTGTCTGCCCCCTGCCCTGCGCTTCGCACTCTCCTCACCGGCCTCTGGGGCTGCTCTCCCTGTAAAATGGTGTCTGTGCTTCTGGCTCTGTTCCCCCTGCCCCCAGGCGCCCCTTCCCATCTCCCCAAGGACACTGCCCTCAGGCCCTCTGTGTGCAGGAACCCCATCACACCCACTGTCACCTCAGAGGGGACAGGGCTTGTGGCCCCTAAGCCCTGTGGTGGGGGACACCAGGTGGTGCTGCTGGGAGCTGGCAGGGGGACTCCCCAACCTGTCAGCTCTTTTGTGTTAGCCCTTTTCCTGTACCCATGTGGGGGGCAGAAGTGGAGGCAGGGGTCCCCTCCACAGTTGGGGGGAGTATGGGGTGCAGGGGGGCCTGGCCCAGCCCCACTCCAGGTCCTATTTGTGTGCTCCCTGCCTAGTCACTCAAGCAGAAGAAAAATTTCTAGAGAACTATAATTTTGTATCTTGATGTGAATAAAGTTCTTGTGTCACGTTCGTGCAGCTGCAGCCAGGGTTGGCCTCTGACTTCTGACTGTGTGTATTGGGATGGCACAGGGAGGAAATGTCACGTTTGTCCATCTCTATCCCTGCACTCGGCAACGGCCAGACAAGTACAGCTCACCGCAGGCAAAGATGAGAACCCTGCATCCCCAGCCCAGAAAAACCCCACAGGCATAAGCTACTGCAAACAGGTTTATTGACAGCTGTTAGCAGAAGGTGGTCAGAGAGGGGGGGCTAGAGCGAGGAGGAGGGCAGAGCCCAGCCCTGCTGGCCGAGCCCAGCCATGCTGCCCCTCGCTGCGTACAGCCAGCACCCCCCCAGCAGCCTAATCTACAGCAACCCCCCATCCCCACCCTCTCCACCACGCTGTGGTGCCCAGGGCCTCTCCCCACAGCCCCAGGTATTGCTCGGCCACAAGCCCTGTCATGCCCCCCCTCACCGCATCCCATGGAGCCAGAGGGTGCTGGGGGAAGGGGGTGGCAGGGGGTGGCCGTGCAGGGAGAAAGCGGAGTCCTGGTTGGGAGAGCCTCCGTGGGCGAGTGGGCGTGCGCGGTCCCCGGGCGCAGCAGCCTCAGAACACACCTGGGGAGACAAGCGGAGGGGGGTACACAACAGCACCTGTGAAATCCTTCTCGGCCAAGGGCTGGGGAGAGGCAGGGATGGAGGGAGGAAGGACTCAGGCAGAAGAGGAAGATAGCCAAGGCAGAACTACAGGCACCGGAGAGGGCAGAAACACTTGTGAACATCACAGAGGGTCACTGCTGCTGCTGTGGGAAGCAAGGAGGGACAGTGCCCTGGAGGGTGTGCAAGGCATACAAAAGGGAGTGACCAGGCAGAGTCTGCAAGGAGACAGGAGGAGGGAGTACAGGCAGGAACAGCATCCAGAGGGAAGAGACAAGACACAAGGCACCAAGCAGAGGCTATGTGCGCAGCCCTCCTCGCAAGGATGGGAGCTCAACTCAGCACTCCCCGCAGCCTGGGCAGGGGCAGGCCGCAGCCAGGGAGGCACCTGCTGGAGACCCTGCCAGCCTGCAGGGCTGGCAGGGAGAAAGGGGCAGGCACAGCCAGAGCACGCCTGCCCATGGGCCCCCCATGCTTCCAGAAGCCAGGTCAGGGAGCTGCCTCTCTTCCTGGGACTCCATCAAGGAGGCTCCTCTTCAAGCCACTACCTCCAAATCTAAGAGCCTCCAACACTGGATGCCACTAGCCATCCACTCACCTGAGCAAGGAGGAAGGGCAGAAGAGATCCCCTCCCTTGCTAGGGGAGGCAGGAGCTGAGTTCCAAGCAGTGGGACTCCACACCTGCTTTCCTCTCCCTGCCCCACGCTCAGAGCAGGGGACAGTGCCACAGCTTCACTTTGGGGACAGGTTCGTGCCCCACTGTAGCAGAACTGCTGGCCCCCTGTGGCTCCTGCTCCAGCCTCCCCTGGGCACCACGGGATCTGTGGGTGGAGGAGGGGCTGCTGTGGCTGCCCCCCAGTGCCGACAGGGAGCCGGGGCTGTGCCCACCTGCTTGGTGGTGCCCCGCAGCTTCCATCTCAGAGAGACTGTAGGCCATGGCCAGCTGCAAGTCCTCATCCTCATCCTCGCTATCCGTGTAGAGGCAGACAGGTGAGGAGCTCGAGGTGTGGTGTGGGGCCGGTGCTGGCGGTGAGGGGGGCCGTGGTCTGGGGAAGGCTTGCTGCTCCCGCCGGCTCAGCTCCAGCCCCAGCGCCATGTCATCAGGAACACCTGCAGGAACAGGAGCAAGGGCTGGAGGAATCGCCCACTCCAGTTCCCCAAAGCTGGTGTGGGGCCCTGGCACCTCCAACCCACCCCACCAATACTTCAGAGCAGAGCTCCAAACCGGAGCCAATCAAGGCTCAGTCCAAAACAAAACCTGGATGCAGCACCTCCCAGCCACCCCTAAGGGAAAGGGCACTGATCTCAACAACTCAGTCTGCAGTGCCACTTCTCACCATCGATGTGGATCGACTTCAGCTCCCCATCCTCCTCCACTTCCACCCGCTCCCGCCCGTTCTCAATAATCCTGCAGACAGACAGACAAAACAGATGGACAGTCAAGGGCCACGCAGCCAGTGCACCTCAGCAGGAACTTGCAGGATTGTGGGCCTGCGGCTAGAGGGAAGTCTGTGGGAGCAAGGTGGGTTGGCACTGCCCTCACCTCTTGGTGGTGATACGCCTGCCGTTAACAAAGGTAGTGGAGGTGGAAACAGAGCGGAAGCCCATGCCTGCATCTGCACCAGAGCTGAAGGATGAGGCGAAGAAATCTAGAGAAGGGAGCAACAAGGTTGGTGCTAGGGTGGGTGGCAAGAGGAGGGACTCTCTTGCTGTGAGGAATGGCAGTGTCTCCTACCTGAGGATCCTGGGAAGGGAGAAAAGAAGTGGCCTCCCCCATGGTGCCGAGGGCCAGGGCCTCGCAGCTCAGAGAAGGGCAGCATGTCGTCTGAAAGGCAGGCCCCTCCCATCAGCATTACCCCATCAGCTTGTGAACCAGAAGCAGGGCACTGATGTGGGGACCCTCTGCCAGGGCCAGCCATGAACTCTATCTCCAAGCTCAGCAGCTGCCCCACAGACAGTGAGATGCCCACGAGCCAGCCTCCCCTGCCCCACACGCACCAAAGAATTCAGCAAAGGGGTCTCGTCCACCAAAGAACTCCCGGAAGACATCGTGAGCGCTGCGGAAGGTGAAGGTGAATTCAGGGGCCCCAGCACTGGCCCTGGAGCCCCCTGGTCCTGCTGGAAGGAAGACAGTCTTAAATAGAGCTCTGGGTGACCTCTGCCCTGCAGGGTGGGGAGCCCTGGTGGCACTGACCCACACCGTGTCTTCAGACAGGGATGTATCCAGAGCTGTTCTAACCCCCATGGCCCTACTCACCTGCTCCCATGAGTCCATCCTTGCCATAGCGGTCGTAGACATCGCGCTTCTGCTCTGGAAGAAGAAAGGGGGCTGCAGGGAAGCTGGCTGCCAGGCAGGGACAGGAGCACTGACACTTCTCCCAACTAAGGGAGGTGCAGAACAGCAGGGAGCAAGAGGAGGCAGTTGGCACAAGCCCCTGCTACCCCAGCACTGCACCCAAACCCAAGTAACACCACTGGGCAAGAATGCAAAAGCTTCAGCCCCACTGGGGAAATCCCATTGTGGATGCCAAAAGCTCAGCATCTTTCCCAAGGGCTTTTTTGGGAGACGTGTGAGGAAGTAACCACACCCCACAAGCTATGTGCTAAAGCCATAGGGATCCACTGCCTCCTGGGGACAGCCAGGGATTCAACCTGGGTGAGCCCAGAAGCAGGACATCCCAGTGGGAACAGTCCCAAGGGCAGACACACACACACACACAGAGACATCACTGTGGCCTCTTACTGTCCGACAGCACTTCGTATGCCTCGGCGATCTCCTTGAACCTCTGCTCAGCGTACTCCTTGTTGTCTGGGTTTTTATCCGGGTGCCATTTCAGCGCAGCCTTCCTGTACCTGCAGAGAGGGGCAGTGATGGGCACGCAGCAGTCCTTGGGGCTCTGGGGCCAGGAACCCACATCTGAGCCTGCACCTCCCAGCCTGTGGGCAGGGGCACCCCAAGCCTGCTTCACCCAGCACCCTACAGCCTCAGGCACCGAACAGGAGCTTCCTGGACTAGTTCTGCCTCCTGAGAAGAGTATGAGTTTTCATATATAAATAAATACATATATACACACATATATACACACATATATAAACATATTTCTGCACACACACACCAATACACACAGACTAAATCAACAAAACAGAAATGACCCCAGAACTGCAGCACAACCACAGTAGTGCAACGTGTGTCCACCTCAGCTGCCCTTATTGATGGCTCTGGACAATGCTCACAGGTTTGTTCTGGAGCCTTCATGGGCTCCACTCTGAGTGTACACGGACCAGGGGTTGCTAGGAGCCCTCTGGGGCCAGGAGAGCACCAGCAGCCATCTCCTCCCCACTGCAGCTAGGTTAACCCATACTTTCCAGCTTCTCCCACTCACTCTTGGGAAGCCCCCCATGGGGACCTCTGCCACCTGTTGACAAGCCAGCAATCCACTGGCACTCCCCTCTGGCGATGCCTCACCCCAGTGAGAGCAGCAGCATCTCAGCAAGGCACCAGGCAGGAGTTGCAGAGATTCAGGAAGCTCTATCAGCTCCCCAGTAGTACCTGGGGCACAGCACCAACCTGCACAAAGGGCCCACATCCCTAAAAGGGGACATGCTGCTCTTCACCCTGTGACCTCGTCCCCTGACTTTGATGCTAGCAGAGTCCCTGTGCCCCAACCATCTGCCATCCCTGCACCCTCTGGCAGAGAGAGAGAGGGGACCACTGACACTTGCCCTCCAGCCTTCCAGCCGACAGCAGGGAGAAAGGCACCAAACCCCACCAAAAGATGCCTTTGTATGGCAGCCCAACCCCGCTCTGGCATCCATACAAAGGAAACAAAGGCTGAATTGTCACCTCTGGAGCTGGGCCCTGTCCACACTGCCCCAAAGGGAGCCCCCGACTCGCTGGCACCAGGAGGGGGTGGCTTGGGGAACTGTGCCCCACGGGCAGGGGCACGCTGCCATACACTTACGCCTTCTTGATGTCCTCAGCGGTGGCATTGCGGCTCACCCCCAGCGCTTCGTAGTAGTCGACCATGACGTGAGCTGTCCCACGGGGTCGCTGCAGGGGGAGAAGGCAAAGTCAGGGGTCCACAGGCACAGCCTGGTAGTGCTGGGCGTGAGACAGCAAGGGTACGCTGCTTACCCTCTCCAGCCCCCCGGCCACCCCACTGCCTCCCGAGAGTAACTCGGTGCCACGCCATACCCAGCTCCCCAGCCCCCTGCCCGCACCTGGGAGCACCTACAGCCCCAGTCGGTGGGACCCTGTGCTGCTGACACGCCGCCGTCCCGCCGGCGTCACCCCAACTTGCCCGGGCAGGGGGAAGGGGCCCCGCTGCCGGCGCCGCTCCCGGCCCGCTTGCCCCGGGGGCTCGGCCGCGGGCCGGGGGGGCAGCGGGAGGGCGCAGCCCGCTAAGGTGCTTAGCGGCTGGAGCGGATTAAGGGCTCAGCGGTAACCCTCCCCGGGCACGCCGGGACACTTCCATCGCCCGGCCCGCTCCGGGTGGGGGACAGGAGCAGAACGCGGCCGTCGCAGCCCCCCGCGACCCCCCGGGGTACCGTCCCGCCCCCGGTACTCGCCCCCGGCCCGTGAGTCCCAGCTGACGGGAGGGCGGTGCTGCCGCTGGCACCGGCACCAGTACGGCGGCACTGGCACCGCCCCCCGGCCCGGCCGTAAACACGGCGCTCCCCGGGCCACCCGCTGCTGCTGGAAGTTTCCGTACCCCGCCCCGCCGCCACCGGCGGGCGG